TCTCGAGTTCTCTCCCCTCTATTGTGCATGTGCACTGATAGATACACTTTGTTAGGTTATTTAAACCTAAGCTTTGAATACCGTTAATTAATAAATTGGAGACTGATATGATATTGTCATTTATATATCAAACTTTGAACTGTGTTACCTTGACTCTATTCTTCCTTGTTATTGGATACACACAAAAAGATTACAATAGTAACTACTTAGACCACTCGGCCACCGAGGCCCCGTTGTGCATTCGATGAATACATTGATGATTAAAATCAACGGAGACTATCATATGGCTATATATCGAAAACAAGTTCATAGACAGTACCGAAACGCGTTACTCATTCAAATTTTTATATCTATTGATTTATTAAGGTTGAATTTTTCTGTCAATAGTTTTGTTTTTTGATAGGAAGGCCAGCTTGTGCTAACAAAATGTTGAACTATATCATTTAATTTTTTTCTTTTCTATGATTTTAACGAACATTCCAATCTTGCTGAATAAGGAGAGGTTCACATTGGAAGAGTGAGTGCTAAAGATAAGGTGTACTCTCTAAGTTGTTTACTGTTTTATTGCACTAGCCTCCACCTTTGTCATCCTGATTAGTTTTTCACAAAACCTTCCATCAAGATTTTTGTAAAGTTCAAGGTGTTTAACCTTATCTTAATTACCTATAACCGAACGTATACACTATTTAATATTTGAACCAACGTGGCAAACTAACCAGAACATATCATCAATTGAAGCTACGTCCTGTGGGCCGATAAAACCTATCATAGGAACTGCTCTAATACATACAATTACAACCACGATTAAACACAATCGTTGTTGTAAGATTATAAAATTGGCCGTGTAATTCAACTTTACATTGGGGAAGAAGAGTCATTTACAACTTATAAAACATGGCGCGTCTCTGATATATCGTTTTTGTGAAGATCCATCTAGTTTGTTTTTTAATTAATGTAAATATACGTAAAATTGTGAGAGAAACAAAAATATGTGAAATATTTAAATTATACTATTAATATAGTATATTAGCTCGGACTATTATACTAAAAGTATAATAGTCCCAGATATTAGCTTATCAATTAACTTCGTATGTAAACATTGTTTTCATCCCAAAATTATCATGACTTACCATAATATTCCCCAGTAAACAAGAAAAACGTCAATATGATAAAAAAATATCATAGTTACACAATGCATGAATATTCTTGTCTAAATGAAACAAAACGGGCTAGTGAACGACGGAAAAACGAACAATGTGTGTTGGGATTACGGGGGTTCCGCGATATTGTTCTTTTCAATGTGGAGATTAAAAAAGACACATCACGTGATATGTTTCTGTGCATCTGTGCGTGCCAAGTCTTTATCACAGACGAATTGAATTTCCATTTTTAATATGGTCCTCATTATTCTGAAAACTCATAGTCAGGCGACAATACCATAAGTGGATATTTCATGGATATCCTTTGTCCTAAGTATGCTAATTTCCGAAGTTACCATGTTACCGGTGTGTGTTAAATGAGATTGTGGACCAGGAAAAACGGACTATCGCGGAACTGTCGATATATAAGTATTTTCTTTTATTTAGCATGAATTTCCTTATGTATATCATTAAATCTTCAACTTAGTCTTTTAATTTTGTAAGACAGCCAATATCAAACATTGTACCCCTCAAAATCAAAATATCGTCCTCTTGAAACCAGACAATGCTGATATGTGAATACATATGGTTCCACAGCATAACATATTTTTTTCTGCTAGAAATCTTAGTCTTAATTCACCTTTTCAGAATCTGAAGGACTATGGGTAATCTCATTGTTCGTCCACCAAAATGAAAATAACGTTACGTCATTGTTTGAATTTCCATTGTTTAGAACGTGTTAAACCAATCACAACGTGTTGGTGTACGCTTTTGAAAATATTACCCATAATGCATTATATTCTACGGCGAATAGTCAGCTACAAATGTACATGTTTTCTTCTCATGCACATGATATCGCTATCTCTAATGAATTTGACAAAACCAAGAAAAGTGCTGTCAAATTGACAGCAAACCGGGTTTTCTGTATTAAGAAAGCACTTTCACACTTATTTGGCCTAAAACGCTTTGTAACAGTTCCTATTAACCATAACTCATGAACAGCAAAAGGGAAAATCATCAATTTCTGATTAATTTTAATTGACCTTCATTTTTTCATCGGTTGCCAAAATACTGAATTTGAAAAGCATTGGTTGAACGGTTGATCGAATATTACACGGAAACAACATACATTTCAACATGTTCAATTTGAAATGTATCAAGGACAATAACTCCATAACGGTTAAAGTGAAAATCGTCAATACTGAACTTGACCTTCATTTCAGTAACAACATATTGAATTTGAAAAGCATTGGTTGAACGGTTCATTAGTTATTGCGCAGAAACAACATAAAGTGCCTTTTATACAATTTATCAAGGACTATCACTCCTGAATGGTAAACGTGAAAATCGCCACTCAATATTGTCATCAGTAACAACATATTTAAAAAAAAAATGAAATGCATTGTTTAAACAGTTATTGCACGGAAACTGTTGAGAGCCGCCCACCGCCAGCAGAACTTCAACGAAATAATTACCTGATGTTTCCTGTAGAACTGGTAAAAATATAAATGTACGCACTTTTTTTTTTGGGTCACCGTACGGCCTTCAACAATGAGCAAAGCCCATACCGCATAGTCAGCTATAAAAGGCCCCAAATGGACAAATGTAAAACAATTAAAACGAGAAAACTAACGGCCTAATTTATGTACAAAAAATGAACGAAAAACAAATATGTAACACATTAATTAACAAACGACAACCGGTCTTCAACACGGAGCCTTGGCTCACACCGAACAGCAAGCTATGGAGGGTCCCAAAAATTACTAGTGTAAAACCATTCAAACAGGAGAACCAACGGTCTAATCTATATAAAAAACGAGAAACGAGAAACACTTATGCACCACATCAACAAACGACAACTACTGAACATCATATTCCTGACTTAGGACAGGTGCATGATGTTTGTTTGTTGTTCTTCATCTTTTTTTGCCATGGTTGTGTCAGTTTATTTTCGACTTATGAGTTTGAGGATGAAATTTGAAAAAAAAAGGCAGGACAGGATTTTTGAGTAAAAAAAAGCAGAATGACAGGATGACAATTTATGTGAAAAGTCTGGATAAACTAATAAAAGAAAGACAGGACCGAATAGAGTGAGAAAAAAAAGGCAGGACAGAGATTACAAGTAAATAAAAATACTGGACAATATTTTTCATCCTACCCCCCTAAAAACCAAATGGTAGCTCCCTAAGAATGATGATAATAGTAGCGTTGACTCTAATGGGACAACAACACAATATTACAAACAAAAGAAAGAAAAATTCTGAAGTGAGTAATATGCGACATTGAGGAAGAGTGGAGTGTTGATACAATGTGTTAAATTTATAAATAATATTTTCATCACATATGGGACATCCTATTCTTTAAAAGGAAGAGAAACATTAAGCTATAACTAATTATAACCACTAACGAAGTTCCGGAATTTAAAAGGATTTATAATATATTGTAGCGTAGTTTTAACTGTGTGTTTTTAGTATTCAACTTTCATCCTCTTATCTTTATGAGGGTACATTAATTTTAACCTCAAATATCAATACTAGTTAACGAAAACTTCAATTGTATTATGAGCTAACATTAAATGACAAATGAGCTTCTCATTGAACACATATAAATAATATATTTAAGAAAGGGGATGCGTTGTTAACGACGCTCCCCCCCCCCCCCCTCCAAAAAAAAAAAATAGTACAAAATTAAGAAATATTTCATTATTTCATTAAGTAACGTAGTTTTATTACAATCAACAGTTGTGGTGTCAAATTATGTACATGTTTCATTTTTACATATTTTTATCTTTTAGAGATTTTTTTTTTTGTTTGGTGCTTAAAATACTACAATGACTATAGATAAATAGTTCACCTTTTTTGTTGAATATCTTGATGAGTTAAAAGTTAACGTCACTGTTTTCATTTTGTTGACATGTAGTTTAAAATATTCATACTACATGTACTAATCCAACGTTTAAGTATGTTTTATTTTTTATGAGATTTCTTTTATGTTTGAGGCTTAAAATACTACAGTACACTTCTTATCTCCATAAATAAACTAGGCTTTATTTGTACATGTAGGAATTTAAATATTTGTCTCTCTTTGTCCTGAAAGGCAAATGGAAAAATAAATATTATATTCATAAATATTGGAAAGGGAGAGAAGCCAACAATGTTTCTTGTTCTTGATATTGTTATTGTTATTATTAATAAGTACCTTTTGCAATTTTTCCTGTTTAGTTCTCAATGTTAAGATATGTCAAAGGTTGTATTTTGTTGATATATTAGTGTATGCATACTAAACTAATTACCATTGAAATTCTGAAGTTATTCTAATCAAATAAATCGAATTAACAAGTTTTTACTTCTTTTAAAAGCCATTGCATTTAAGGTAAAACGTATCTGTACACATATAAAATACTGTAAAAAAATAACTGATATGATTCGTTTGTTATCATATAATGTGCAAAATGCATCAGAAGTTGCAGTAAGTTTTTCAAATTCTACGAAAAAGGTTTTTAAAGTAACTAATATTGTCCTGTTCATACTGATTTATTATTTCTATTGTAAGCGAAATTTAAAACCAACATAAATAAAATCAAGAATAATTCTCGAATTTAACAGATTTTACCACTACATCAAATCGGTCCCATAAACCAAGTGTAAAAATATGAAAACAGGGACCATGCCATATTGTATTTCTCCAATGGTATTGTGTTGTGTACTTTGAACAACAAAAAAAGCAATCAAGTTTAACGCTGTCAAATTTTCCAACACCTGTCCAAAGTCAAGAAACCTCGTCAAAAGGGAAATATGTGATCTCTAAAACTAGCTATAGCTTTATTTTTTCACATGTTGATGAATCTCTAAACTGATTGCCTTTTGTCAAAAAGTTGATGCTTTTGTTATTTTGCAGCATTTTGCTTATATGACAGATCTACATGCTTTATACTTTCTGTTTAATACATTCACCATATAAGGTGACTTAGAGCTTCAAATATTGTTCTCCACATTATCAAACTTAGAAAAATAATCCACATTGCCTTGTTTTATGGGGTTTTTAAATATAAAGGAGTAAAAAAGACTGATCGGTAAGTTTAAAGTTTGTAAATTGTATTGAATGTATGGATATATATTCTTTTTAATTTGTTTTTGTTAGTAATCAATAAAACATAATAGCTGAAACTAGAATATTATAAATGTATTGTTTTTCATTAAATTTCAACAAAGAGAGGTCACTGCTAACAAATTGTGACGGGGCATTAATAGCTCACGATATGGGTTTGTTGGGTGTTCATTGTTAAAAGACACACAGTTATCTAAAGATGCTAAGTTCATCAATGTCATTTGGTATCTGATGTATAGTTGTATTATTGATAATCAGATCTCCTTATTCTATAGTAATTTAAACGTAAAGTGTGTATAAAATTACTCAGCGCTTGATACATTTTTAGTTGAAAAATTATCAGGAAAGCTCCAGACTCACAAGCACATATATAATAGATAACAACAAAAAACTATAAATTAAAAGGCATATAAAAATAACGAGCTGCACCATAAGTGCATGATACACCCGTCGCTTTTTCAACGAATAAAGATCCATAATATTTAATCCTCAAAAAAAGAGAGCTTATTTCAATAGATATAAACCTGTCACCAAAGTTTTATTAAACTACTCAAAGTATTTTTGAGTTATTGTCCGAAAACTGGAAAATATCCTCTTATTTATGAATTAAATAACATAACTCCGAAATGTAAAATTTAAAATTTATAAAAATCGAAAGGGAGCTTACATTAATAAATATAAACAATTCACCAAAGTTTCATAAAAATTGGTTACAGTCTTTTTGAGTTATTGTCCGACATGTTGACGACCGACGGACGGACAACGGTATACCATAATACGTAAACGCAAGTGAAAGGAATGTAGTAATTTTCCAATCAAAACTTTTCAAAACATGAGAAGCACTTGTCATAAGTGGCATTGTATATACAAATACATTATTTTTAATATGTTTTGTTAGGAAAAACCATTGAAACAATAGCACAAAGAAATAAAGACGCCCAGGAAAAAGCATGTCTGATTGTCCCATTGGTTCCCCATGCATCTAAGTTACTTGGTCCATTTATACAGAGCACACCATTGAATTCTCCGAGTTGCAAAAAAGATATTCCTTTCAATACATTAGATAAAACCCCTCTCTGCTGATTAATGATTCGCTTATCTCTGTAGCAACCTCCTCCTCCTAATGACTGCTCTACTAGGAAACATCCTCTGACGTGAAAATGGATAGGCAATTCTACAATATAATTTAAATATTAAAATATGAGTGTCGTTATATACGAATAATTTAATTTTTGATGTAACGAGTCTTCTGATTGGGCGACAGTGTTTTGTCTATCAGCTCATAAATACAATTTTGTCATGTGCCCGTGACGTCATCAACTTTTTTTTGTAATTTACTCCGGCTACGCGGGTTATTCATTTTTTATGTTATTTCTTCATAGACAGAAAAAATATTACAGGCATTCCTTAAAATAAAAAATAAAAAATTAATTAATTTATCATTTTGAAAATATATGTCCTGAATGTTCGTAATAACTCAAGGGACATAAAGCAAAAGTACGAAGAAGCAACCTTGGTTCACAAATAAGAATTAGGAGGACTTAGTATAATTTAAAGTATGTACAAATAACGATCAAAACGAAACGATAGAAATGCATGACATGCTCTATATAGACAAATCGATGTTCAAACATTCAGAAAGCTATTGTAAATTCAAAAAGGGTGCAAACCAACTTATACAACATACAACGAACAGCAATTTGAAACATAAACAAGATTATACAGTAATGAGAAGCTTTCAAGGATATAAAAAATTTTGTTCTTGAAATCTTTGAGTTCCCTGGTTGGAACAGATTGATAATGTAAGGATTGAGATACATGGAGGTTTACAAGTCTAGTTTACATCTATCCTGGAAAATAATTATTGTAGTCTTACACAACTACACACTCGATTATTTTCCGAGTTTGCATTGTGATTATTTTAAATAGATAATTATCATCTACCCTAAAGTCATAAAAAATTATAATCACAAATAATTTTGTTCTGCAATTTATTAAGATTCTTAACTAAATACCTATTTTATCGATCAATGGAGGGTCTATCGAGACCCTCAGTGTTCCTACGAGTCTTCCACATCTATTGACCTGTCCGGGACCAGGAGCGTCCGTGCACGTGTTCAATGTAACATCTGAAGCCGCCCGAGCATTTTGCGCATTTTCACATTCTGGTGTTCTGTAAGTCGATTCAAATGTAGACAGGAGGAATTGTACTGCAGATGGGATAGAAGAACTGTTCAGTACGGCGTCTGTACAATGTAAACACTCTATTCCTGAAGAAAAAAAACAGTGGATTTTATTTAGGGAACCACCATTTGATTGTTTAGGGAAAAGGAGGGGGGGAGAGAGAATGAAAAAAGTTTGTCCTGCATTGTTTTTTAGTTATAATCTATGTCCTGCCTTTTATTGCAAAGTTTCTCATTCAGCCTTTTGTTTTATTCAACACTCCTGTCCTGCCTTTTTTTCAAATTTCATTCTAGTCCCTCCCCCATAAAAATCAAATACTAGTATTTGATCTTTGGTGCAATAATTTTATATTTCTAAAGTTAGGCATTTGAAAATCAGAATGGAAAAATCTAAATCTCGTAAATAGGTACATTATAAGAAGATGTGTTATCAGTACCAATGAGAAAATTCTCCTCACAAGTCACAATTTGTAAAAAGTAAACCATTTTAGGTCAAAGTACGTCCTTCAACACTGAGCATTGGCTCACACCGAACAGCAAGTTATAAAGCAACCCCCACCCCCTCCAAAACAAAATGACTAGTGTAAACCCATTTAAACGGGAAAACCAACGGTCTTGTATATATAAAAAACAAGAAACACTTATAAACCACATCAACAAACGACAACCACTGAACAACATTCCCACTTCTCAATGTGTATGCTTTTTAATGCACATGTATATGTGTGTGTGCAATGTCTGTCGATTTACACCAAACTTGTTCAAAGAGTCATGTTGTGTCCACAAAAAAAAATCGAATTGAAAAAAATTATAACGCCAAAAAATAAATATTTTCTGATTTAGGCGTACCAAATCTACATGTATAAGCCATTTGTTATCTTTCACAAAGTTTTGTTCTAAAAGTTGAACTGTTATAAAATCACCAATAACTTAATTTTGTTGTAGATTTGGTTCTAGTTAAACAATTCAACGATGCTCGCTACTCTGTTTCAAAATAACAAGCTTTTAAAATTAATTTGAATCACTGTTAAAAGTTGATAGCATAAATATAACAGAACAATATGAAAGGTTCGTGTCCTTGTTTTCCAGATATAAGCTATTCAAAATTTGGTGGGAAACTAATTTCTCTTGATTTGCATATACATTAAAAATGGTTCTTTCTCTTTCGAAAACTATATAAAAAAAAGAATTCTATAAGATTTTTGAGAACATTGTTTTTTAAACTCTACATATATGTAATTACATAAAAAAGAAATATAGGTGTAAGCGAACAAATTGTTTGATGCTACCACATGGATAAAACACGGGGATTCCGAATATTTGAGAAAAGGTCAAAAACATGATACGCAAACATCCTTAAAGCCATTGTCCTCTCCAATTTTGTTCTCCAACTATGGCAAGCCGTTTTACTTTTTATTCGAATTTCAAGATATCTCATATAATATGTTCTAGGATATCTTATATAATAAATAGGATATCTCATTTAATATATAAGATATCTTATATAATTTAGTTTTTATAAGATATCTTATAAAATTTAGTTTTTATAAGATATCTTATATAATTTAATTTTTATAAGATATCTTATATATAAGATATCTCATAGTTTATAAGATATCTTACATACTTTATAAGATATCTTCTAAAGTTTATAAGATATCTTATAAAGTAAATGAGCTATCATATAAACATTTTCTTTATATAAGATATCTTATATACTTTATAAGATATCGTATATACTTTAGAAGATATCGTATATACTTTATAAGATATCTGATTTACTTTATAAGATATATCATATACTATATAAGATATCTCATAAACTATATAAGATATCTTATAAACTTTATAAGATATCATATAAAGTTTATGAAATATCTTGAAGTTAGCATAAATAGTAAAACGGCTTGCCATATACAACAGTATATCCGGTATATTTTGTTGGTTTTTTTTGTAGTTGGTTTAATTGCAGCCACTACTTCAAATATAGCTGGAAATTATGTTCAACACTAAATTTGAATTTTCATAGCACCTGTGAAATTTGGAAGATTTTTCGTTAAGAAGACGGAACACTTGTTCGTTTTACAAAAGAGCTAATTGTGACATAGAGCAGGAACTATATATTTCATAACGTGAAGCCCCGCGGAAAATTGTAGTTAATCGGATTTACCACAGTTTTGTCGGGTTATTGATGTCTAAATTAGCTTACGTACGTGATTTATCATAAACTGAATATTTGTTCTTAGAACTTTATTAACACTCTAGACAGTTTACACTGTAGCAAGAGACAGACAAATGATACAAAAAATATTTTACATTGGTGAACAAGATAGAAAGAAATATATATACATACATAGTTCATTATATCTAATTCTCTGTACACAAGTATTTACATAAATAACACGTGAAAATCGTTCAGAGTTATAATAATGGGATTTAAGATCGCAAGTCGAATAAATGTAAGTGATGATAATATATTAATAATCATAGAAATTTCATAAGTTTTTTTTTTATTTAAATTGACAAGTTATTCAAGACTTTTATATTACATACAGACATCAAACCTTTCAGTTTATATTCTGAAGGTTTAACAATATAGTAATTTGGGATATATACACGTCTTAATTTTGTAACCTCGTCTTTGCGACATACAAATATGTAATGAAACTGATTTCCAATACAATTACTTTTGCACAAAGTAAATATTTTTTTCTCATTTGGAATGTTATACCATCGACCAGTATTAATTGAATTTCGATATTTGAACATCTAAGTTTGGTTATTTATATATTTTTTTTTTTCGATCTAACTTTTCATGTTAACAAAAGGACGTCTATGTAAGGTGTTTGTATGTCAGCGAACTTTCAAACACCGTAATGACCTTAACCTCTAGAAAAATATGTTTAATCCAAGAAAAATATGTTTGATATTTTCTTTCTCTTCAAATATTCCCTCTACTCGAAAACCAGGGTTGATATGCACAAACCCACATAAGTAAAAATATTCATTCGTTGTACAGATTTCATCGTAGGACATGAAGAAAAATCCGTCCGTTCGGAACAAATCAAAATGCAGTCGACCCCCCAGGAGTCCATACATGTGAAAGGACATGACACTGTTTACATATTACATGGATAGGAAAGAATTCAGGCAACATTGTGTAAAGAAATGAGAAAGGACACATTCAGTAATTTGTAGATACAAACCATAATTTAAATAATTAATAAAAAGAAATATCTAATTTGAATTTAAGTAAATGTATATTAAAACCACAATATTGGACACAATCCTGATAAAACAATATTTACAATTAAATTAAAGTTAAACTTGTATATTTTCTATCCTTATTAGAAATTTGAAAATGTGGCATGATTGCCAATGAGACCGTGCATATCTCTACGTGAGACCAACTGACCGTGATAGAAATTACCAACTCTAGGTAACCGTACGACCTTCAATAACGAGCAAAACCCATATTTATTATCACTTACCGTGCGATTCTCCAGTCAAAAACATAAATGTAAACACGATCAAAAGCATTATTAATATAAACTACATAAATCTTCTTGTCAAATTATTAAGTACAATGAACTTTTCACGTGACGCACGGAAGAATACACTTAAGTGTATTTGGATGAGACATATAATTATAGGTTTAATATTGCTACAATTGTGTCTCTATTCATTAATAAGTGTATTCTCTATTTCCTTTGGGCTACATGTAAGTGATGAATTTTTCGGATTAATCACGATCGAATAATTTTTACGTTTATTTATACATATAAATGATGTTAATATATTCAACAAATAAATATGCTTATGAAAACAGATGATTTAGTTATAATAAATAATATTTTATTGGAATAATCAAGCAGAAGGATTGAACACAAGTTATTACATGTACAACCTATAAAAGGGCTCTCTGCTCACATATGTAATACACATAAAAATGTATATGATGACAGCATACACATATATCATATATTGTGTCGCACATTAAAACAGAGGTAGAGAATGTGTAACCAAGACAATCCACAGTCTAATATAAAGGAGACTGATTTGAGGATCTGATCACAACTAAATGTTAAACCTAAATAACCATGCACCATAAACTAGCAGTAATACACAGAAGATGAATTCCACTTAGTATATAATTTATTTCCAAGCCTGGGACTTGTCACCAAGGCTGTGACTTCCAAACTTCTTTTTTTTACAATTAGCTATTGTCAATTATTACATAATGTGTTGACAAAAATAAACAAGTTATTATCCAGATAAAGAAAGATAAATAATTAAAATAACTCTTTTAGCAATATCTCTAAATTTAAGAATGATAAAGGATTAAGCCCTGAGGCATAATTGTCACTTTGTATATAATGTCCATTATCAATTAGATATATAGTAACTTATTGTCCAGGTAGATAATATAATATAAAACATAATTAATGATAAATTCTTTAAGTCTCAAACATAGCATTAAAAATCTAAACACAACTGAAAGTCAATTTAACTCTGTTATTCATTTCCCCCCGTCAGACTAAAACATTTCCATATGTTTCTGAATTACACTTTAAAATTTATTTTTGGAACGCTGAGATTTGCATTTTGAATTCTTTGAACTACTGTTGGTTGAATGTTTAGAATTTTGCTTTTGAATTAATTTGTCAACAAAATCCATTGGAGTCATACAATGTACGTGTCTCTGTATTGTCTATAGTTCCTTGTTTCTTGATGGTTGAATTTGTACATTGAAGTGATGTCAGATGTTCCATTTTGCTTTTTAGGGTCTTATTTTCATCCTCAAGTTTTGAAACAAATTTTATATGGGAATTTCTTTGTTTCTCCAGAATTTTGTCAACATCTTTATTTGTAATAAAATATGTTTCCTCACCATCAGAATCAAACATCGTTTCTTCTTCTTCTAACTCTTTATACTCCTCTAGTTCCTCTAATAGTTCACTGTTTCTTTTAGTAAGTTCTTCCAGTATTTTATTTCTTACAGCTTCAGACTCTTTGTATTGGTCTACTGTTAATGAGAGTTTTCATTTTCCTGCTTTAAATCTGATGTTCGGTCAATGAATCTGGTACAATTATTTGAATTCCACATTTTAACATTCTTGCATCTAAAATATACTGATTATAGACGGAGCAGGGTGCCCGGCCCTCTTTTGTGGGAAAAATTAAGTTGATTACATAGGAAATCACTTAGGCAGTCAGTCGGTCCCCCTTTATGAACATTTCTGGATTCGCCACTGTAAATACCAAGCAGCAAACAAAACAGAAAAGAAAAACAAGAACAAAAAGAGATGAATGATCAATCGTCCACAAAAGGAAAAGAAATACACAATGACACATTCTGCAAGAAATCCAGTACACCAGATATATAGCAAGTTTAACCTATCTGAAATGCTTATATTATCAATATCATTAATTTACATGCGCTTTTGTTTTTGTTTTGTGGGATTTTTTGGGGGGAGAGAATATAGTTTTTATGTTTATTTTGTATATAGATATAACAAGATCACAGCCGTCACTCGGCTATAACCGAAAGATTGGTCGGTTAATCTATATTGAGTATGCGGCTATATGGGCGGTTGGTCTGTTATTCCGAGTCGGTTATACGTCTGTTAAGAGTAAAAGGCACAATTTAATGTTAAACTCTGTTAAATATACAGATTTTTGGCATATTATGAGAACCAAATCAAAAAATGAAAAATGTCTGCCAAATTGATATCTATCATAGAACATTTTCCATCTGTAAAAACATTTCATAGCCTGCGCAGTTTTCAGTAAAACTAAAAGGCGTCGCGCAAGTATGTGGTATTTATGCTTATACGCATAGCGATTGTTTGGATAAAAGGCGATATTTCTTTTTAGATATCATTTAAAGGACACAAAATAGTACTTTGGTTCTAAAAGATAAATGGACATTTAGTTAGTAAATATTTCATAATTGTAATATAACTTGAGTAATACCACATTTTAGTGAATATTACGGGAATAAAGTCTGTTAATGGGTTGGACAATTTAAATTGTGTCAGTTAAGAGTTATTTAGCCACGACAATAGTTGTGCTACCTTTATAGTTTCCTATTGAAAAGGTTAAGAATGAGATGTACTTGTATAGAAAAAATGACAATATGGTGCAACAGTATCCTTCTAGTAAGAGCATTTTTATTTTGACTTTCTTTGCATTTTATTGAAGGGTGTGTCACTTCAATATAGCGTGATATAGATTGGCCGCTGGAATATGCATGAATGTGTTATTTAAGTTATCAATCAGCCTTATTTTTTGTGCCTGTTCAAAGTCTGCAACATCTATGAATCTGTCATGTGTTGCAATGCAGTTGGTTAAATTCCATGCGTTTTCTGATATGCATTGTCTTTTCTACCTAGTCATCATTGTCATTTTCTGCCTAAAGAAATGTCTGTACCAAGTAAGGAATATGACCGTTGTTTTCTATTCGTTAGTAAGACATGGTTCTAAACAATAAATTGACATTAGTAAGTTTTTTTTCTTTCACTATTTGTGTTGGGTGCAGATTAACTTTAATGTGTAACAAAAAGAATGTTTTATTTTCCTGGAAATCACAACAAATGCATAATATTAATTTTATTTTTCGAGTAATGATGTATTTCCATTGTAAGTTATTTAGCCGATTAGCAGTCCGCATAGTACGTGCTTGTTTTTTTTTATCGAGTGACCTTCAAGGTGTTGTATAGAAAGGTTGATGTTGAAAGGTTTGTTTATATTTGTATTCAATTATGAACATATTTCAGTCCATTTGATAAAAACATGTTTAAAAGTGAAGACTAAATTTTGTATATGTTACACATGGTATTATATTTTTAAATGTTTAATTTGAATTTCCGCGATGTTTAATCACTACAAAGTAACTACCATTTTTTTCTCTTCATGCTAAAATTAAAAAAAAAAACATTTTACTTACTGATGTTTTGTTACATTACTAAGTTTATCTCTGATTTATATACTGGTTACCAATGTAGATGACAAATTGATGTCATTCATGACAATAAAACAGAATCCACATGATATATGCGACCATTCTTTGATGAAATAAATATTACTTTAATATTACACTTTTTGAAACCATTTTTATCAGTTTTCAATTTCCATTGTCTAAATTTATGTTTCATTGATCATGTGTTGTTTCCGTATATTTTAGCCACTCGTCTTGAGCCTACCCATTTGTTCCGATAACACCCCATATAGCAATCAAAATATACTTTTATTGCCATTCATAACTCTTAACAGACCAATTAACAGACCGGGTTTTATACATCCGACCCATTAACAGACCAGGTTTTAATAAAAATTGATTTATGTCACCAAAATACAGATTTTCGTGTAGATTTTTCACATAATGATATTAATATGGTTAACAAACATAATACCTGTCTTTTTTTGTTGTTCAAAATATTGCATGCAAGTAAATTCCACCAACTTGTCATTTTGTGTACATTTCGTGTGTGTAAAATGTGTATAAATTTATTGATGAGTAACCCACTTTTCGTTTTATAGATCGTTTATCGAAGCTAGAAAAAAAAATAATTACACCGCTGGATTCAGTACACTAAATTGTTTTGCCAGACATGCATAGTTTTTATGATAAAAATATATTTAAAAAGTTATATAATGAAACATACTGACCATGCAATGATTTTCTCGATAACACCCGATTAACATACCTTAGCAAACCCGATTAACAGACCAACCGCCCATATAGCCGCATATTCAATATAGATTAACCGACCAATCTCTCGGTTATCCGAGTGACGGCCGTGAAGATGTGGTATGAGTGTCAATGAGACAACTCTCCATCCAAGTCACAACTTGTATAAAAGTAGACCATTATAGGTCAAAGTACGGTCTTTAACACGGAGCCTTGGCTCACACCGAACAGCAAGCTGTAGAGGGCTCCAACAATAACTAATGTAAAACCATTCGAACGGGTAAACCAACGGTGTGAAAAACGAGGAACGTTCAATTATTGATACTTTTTATTTGAGCGCCAGTTACATTTTTATAATTCATACTAAAAAATGTTGGGACCTAACAGGAAACAAACTCGAAGCTGAGTCCCCCCCTTTTACGAATTCCTGACTTTGAAGGAAAAAGATATTATAGTTTAAATCGAAAACTTATTCATTAGAGCAATGAAGTTTTATTCGGATCTCTTTGGTTAGACTAGGAAGCGATACCGTTATTTCTGAAATATTTGAACATATGCTCTCTTTTGACATGACTCAAGCTAAAGAACAATTGTAGCGAACAATAAGCCAGCGAACCCTAAAGAGGTATAACTAAAATTTAACTACAATTTCCTATTAGAAAATCCCGTTTTTTCCGGGCTATAGCGAACAATAACAGAGACCGAACAATTATGAGAATACATAAAATCTTAACCAAAAATGGAAAAAAACAACAAAAAGGAAACCATATTTTATATATAAAGAATACGAAGCTTTTTTCTCCAACATAAATAAATCCATATTAGGCATTCAATAGACAGTTGGATTACAATACTCATAGGGTAACACATTGGTACAACACTATTTGGCGAAAGACAGTTGCGGATCCAGA